AAAAATATTAAATTCAAAGTTCTTCTGCATCTTCTAGACGTTTAATCACTTTTTTATATTCTTCTTCTAAGCTTTTATATTCTTTTTCCAGAGTTTGTATACGTTGTTCCAATGTAGGTAAAGTAATATTCGAATGTTTGTCAATATTCTTCAATGCACATTCCAATTTTTTCAAATCATTTTGTTCTCGTCTATATGGAATATTCAATCTTCTTTTTACATCTAATCTATATTCACGATATTCTTGTTCATTTGTTAAATCTGTAGTTCGCAATCTTAAAATTTCGTACACTCTGCGAGCTTGTTTCTAAAAATAATAGAATATATTAGAATTAAAAATATTTAAACTTTCTATAATGATTTAAACATAAAAAATACCTTATTAATCTTGAATTTTTCTTTAGCTTCTGTAGCCATTGCTTTATTAAAACCTTGAAGTAGATACTCTCGTGAAAAACTAGATAATGTACAGCAATTCATTGCATCCACATAATCTCTTAATCGTTGAAAGGTCATTGAAGGGTCCTCAACTACAACAATGATGATAATGCCTTACCAAAATGTACTAGATTTACTGAAATAAAAGTATCTAATCAGATTTTACTTTTGAGATTATTTCTTTCAAAATTGAATTATTATTAATTATAAATTTATTTTTATTTACCTGTTATATCTTTGACTTGATTCCGCCCAATATATTCGCGATAAATAGCATGTAATAAATGTGTACCAAGACCTATATTTTGAAATGGTGGCAAAATTAAAACTTGAGCTATACGAGGTCTAGTATGATGTGGATATGCATAGTATTGATATACAGTAGCAAAACCAGTAGTTGCATAACGAACAGTACCATCTGTTGTTTGATATTTTTCAAACCTATCTCAAAAAAAATAATTTTTAAAAATAATTCTATTAAAAAATTTTTTTTATGTAATTAAAAAGCAGTATAAAATAAAATTATGATTAAACATACATATTAAAGTAATGCCATCGATCATCATCAATATCTATAAAATTAGCAGCATCTATATACCATAATACAAATGTTTGAAGACGTTGATGATATTCCTTAAATCCTTTATAAGTCATATCTGCTTTATAAACTTCAAATTTTCTTGTACAACCTTCATCTTTATTGTTTATAAGTTTTGAATAATTAATTATTAAGTTCTTTATAGTATTTTTTTAAATATATAATTTAAGAATAATATTACAGAATATTACCATTAACAGAAAATGAATGAAGTAATTCTCCATGAGGTTTAAATGTATCATCCTTTTTTAAAGATTCAATAAATGCATCTATATTATCATGAACTTGTGGAGCTAGTTTTTCAGCAATTTTTGGTAATACTTCATCAGCTTCAACTCCTTCATAAAGTATTTTATTTATTTTTTCTGAATAAGTCATGCCTAGATAAGTTTCTAAACAACCTGCTGAATAATATAGCTTCACTCTGAGATCCCGGTAACCAAATATAGATTCACTAATAAACAAAATTAATAATTGAAAAACCAATTAAAATAAATATAATACTAATATTTAATATAATTTATAATATTTATATAATATTTTATAATTATAGAAAAAAAATTGTTAAAAATATGTATTTATTTTTATAAATTATTTTTAAATTATATGTTTTTAATAATATATATTTTAAAAACAAACCTATCTCCAAATACTTGATGAGACATTTCCGGTTTAAATGTAGTTTCATTATTTTCTAAATCTTCAAAAGAACGTACTAATTTAAATTCCAAAGCTTCATTACTACTCATTACTAAACTTTTTAAACGTGCAGTAGCTGGATCTTCCATGTTATATACTAGTAATAAAATATATAATATAAATTTATCTATAAAAAATAAAAAATTAAAATTGAATTAATGATAATTTGGTATAAGTAAAATTAAATTTCATATAAATATTTTCACTATAATATGTACTTGTATATATAATAGCGATATATAATCATAACAGTAAATTCATTAAAAAAATATACGTACATATATACATATATATTTAATTTTAAATGAATTTAATTTCATATATATATATATATATATATATATAGAAATTTTTGATTTTGATTAACAAGTTACCGCTAACATTTATAGGTTATGAATTATATATTTTAGAAATTAATAAATCACAGAAAATAAACTTTATTTATTATTATTATTATAAAATAAATTACATGTAAGTTATTTAATCAATAACAAATTAAAGTGTTTTTAAACAACTTTTTATATTATTATATATATATGTTTCTGTTATGTTTTAAAAAATATCATATTTTTATATTTTTATATTATTATATATAAAATTATCATAATATTATACCTTCTTTTGATAATTGTGTATAATTTTTCAATAGAACACTATTTTTTGGTATTTTTCTTTAAACATAACTATAAAACAACTTCGCGCCAAAAATAAAGCGGTTATTTAAGCTTCAGTTACAATCCTTTCAAAGATTAAGACTTTGTGATATTCTTATGAATTATTGGTTGTTTTCAAAAGAATATTCTCTTTAATTGTACATAAATCTTTTTAAATTCAAGAATAAACATTATTATTATATTAATAATAATTGATTTATATTTTTTTCGAATTATAAATATCATAAAATATAAGTGAATTTTTTTTATGAAAAATTATTTGGATGTGAATATAAATCTATAAAATTGAATTTTACTTTATTTGTAATTTTATTCGTTTATTATATTTGTATTATATAAAATAACAAATGAAATACATTGATTAGATATATATTGTATTTAATCTTTTATTTTGAATCTTAAAGTTAATTTTTGAAATACATTAAATATTTCAATACATTATCATACAATATAATATCATACTGAAACTTTTCGTCATAATATTTTCTAATAAAAATAAATTTTT